GAACCCATGATTTTCTTTCAAAAGTAACTAAACGGATTAAGTCGACTAAATACATGTGCAAAACTGTAACTAGACTTTAAGAATCAAATAGTGAAATGACAAAAGAAATAAATCAATCATAATGACTAGAGTTATTGACAAAACTGCTAAAGTGAGCTAAGTGACATCACGCTAATTTCCAGTGTACTACCCATTAGATATCCAGTTCAATTCTGCCTGAGCCCCCTGTATATCTGATGTTAAATTTTTGAGCTCCGGACAGAAAAAGATTGAGGATTTTGAGAGAATGGTGCAAAAAAGTTGAAGGTCCTTTTTTGGGAAGGGTTCACGGAAAATGAGTGAACAAACCCATGATTTTCATTCACAAGTAACCAACCGGATTAATTAGACTAAATACATGTGCCAAACTGTAACTAGATTTTAAGAATCAAATAGTGAAATGGCCAAAGAAAGAAATCAATCACAATGACTAGAGTTATTGACAAAATTGCTAAAGTGAGTTCTAATTAGACTACAAAATTGCATAAGATTCAACATGAAACCAGAAATGAGAGACTATAATTCAGTCCAGATCAAGATGATTCAAGAAGGAAAAAAGAGAAAAAGCAAGGGGAAAGAGGGAGTGATTTTAGGGAGGAGCAGACCAGTGAAGTGAAACCCCAACAGTTGTGCAAAGCATTCTGCTGCATGTAACAGCTTGCCTGCAAAAGATGACTTTGAGATGTGGGCTGGGTGTTCACTGACCCATGGCCAGGGTCCCCACTACATAATGAACACATTTTTGGATGTTTCAGGCTTTGTACTTTGTGGATCCAAGCTGTCCACTATGGTTTCTGTCCAGTGTTTCCATTTTTTTTTTCAAAATGAAATCCCCAGAGTTTTCCGGACATGACTTGTAAATGTACAGCATAAAGCAAATGAGTATGTACTTAGACAATAAAAAATGATATCTATGGGTTTTATTTTTTATACAATTTCAGCCCACAATAGCCAAATTACTGTGTTGCTCCTCTGTGAAGATGACCATGCCAAAAGAGGCAGGCAAGTGGAAAATCAAAGGGAAACCATGGTATTTGCTTCACATAATGCCATTTTTTTTTTGGATGTGCAGTGATATTCAGGGTGATCAGAGGACAGATTCCAGGAAATGGTGACTCAAACTCTCAAAATTTCTTGTGGTTTGTATGTATACCCCTATTAAATTGCAGATCAGGTTTTCTGAAAACAAAATCTGTCCAAGATCATTTCAGACAAAGCAAAATGTGTTACAGTTGAATGCCATCCACATGTACAGCCAGATTTCATCCAGAATTCTATTAATTGCAGATAAGATTTTCTGAAAACAAAATCTGTGAGATCTGAAGTTCAAGGTGTGCCTTAATCCAACTGTTGGAAGTTATATTCCAATTGAAAGTGGAGTTTTCTGTTGAGGGCTAGGGGCAGGGTGGCTAGCTGGGAGAATGTGACTGAAAACATAAATACAGATACATAAGGTGGAAATATGTATGCAGGTCTTCATGATTGGCCATGAGCCTGTGCAATTGTAATGGCGATGAGAGGAGAGTGTTGATTTCCAAGCCTTGGTTGTGCAGTACTGGACATGTGTATGATTTTATGGGATCGATGGTATGGTTGATCTGAGTCGATCATCGCTTCCGTTTCTTCCCAACTCCGAGTATGCTTTTCACAGCGATCCCCGGCTTATGTAACCCACCATCTTTTTTTTTGTATTTCTTCACCCTGGCTTGTAGTTCTCCCCTCGCCCCCCCACCACTGCCAGCTTTTACCATCAGCCTTCCTTCCTTCCTAATTCCTTCCCTCCTTACTTGTAGATACTCCTGCTTATAAGCTCAACCCATCAATCAAACTTGGGAAGAACTCTTCATCATGAGCCTGTTGAGATGGATGGGCGTCAACTCGAGCGGAAGTCAATCGAACCAGAACCTCAACTCAAACGAAGCCCAGAACGATCAGTGGTGGACTGGCTCAGACGAGAAATACTTTGGAATGGAAAACGTCGGTCTCTCTAACCACTCACTCACCTTCATCACCCACTGACTCTGCCTCTTCTACTCTCAAAAAAAAATACAATTTAACAGTTCGGTAATACTTGGTCAGTCCCTCTTATGTATCTTTTTAGACAACAATCTCGAGACTGATGAATTGTTATCTATTCAATAGTTATGCCAACTCAGTCCTGCAAGCACTCTACTTCTGTAAACCATTTCGACAACTACTAGAACTCTCCTCAGCAGACTCTCACTTCCTACTACAAGCCAACCAGCAAACTGCAATCAACCAATCAACCTCATCATCACCTCAATCACCCAATCAACAACATACTCATATCCTCAAGACCCCCACTTCATCCGGACTATCATCATCATCCGATAACCTAAAAACCCATTCAAGAAATCACACCAGATCTAAATCTACCAGCCTCGGACTAGATACCCTGCAAAAGAACCACCTCAACCAACAACAACAACCAACATCCTCATCATCAACCTCTCCTACCACTCGCCCTCGCTCTAAGAGTAATAATCAACTTCATTTGTCCAAAGACCTATCATCATCATCTTCATCATCAGCAGCATCATCATCATCAAACTCAAAACCTGATCAACAGCTGCAGCATCCTAACATTCATCTCAAGACCGACTCAAACACCCTACGTCTCACACAGAATCAGCCATCAGCTCACTCAAAGACCCCAATCCCCACATCCACTAGCACCAATGCCAGTCATACCAAGCGCAACTGGGGTGCTGCAGATTTCGACCAAGGTAGCCTCGGTAGAATCCAGCATACCAATCACAATCAACAAAATCCGACTAGTTCCCATCTAGAGCCTGAAACTGATCAAGATCCCACGATCTGCTCATCCCTACGCGATCTCTTTCGACACATCTCAACTCAACCTAACTCGGTGGGCGCCGTAGCACCTCAGGCATTTATCACCACACTGAAACGGTACAACGAACTCTTTCGGTCGACGATGCACCAGGATGCTCACGAATTCTTGAACTATCTCGTCAACTCGGTGGCTGAGGATGTCTTCGCAGAACAGGAGAAGAAACGACTCGAGGACGAGCGATCATCCTTACTCGAACCCACCCCGCCCTCACTGCAAAACCTGAACAACACTAGTACGCCATCCTCAAAGAAAGGTCATCCACGATCAACATGGGTTCATAGATTATTCGAAGGCACTCTGACCAACGAAACAAAGTGCTTGACATGCGAGACCGTCACTCAACGCGATGAAAGCTTCCTCGATCTCTCGATCAATATTCATCAAAACACCAGCTTAACCGCCTGTTTGCGTCAATTTAGTGCTAGTGAAATGCTCTGTCAGAAGAATAAATTCTCTTGTGATCAATGTTGCAGTCTACAGGAGGCTGAGAAAAGGTAGATTTTGTTTGTCACACATCCCCTCTCATTTTTATTATTATTCAAGAAATACGGAGGTGACTAAGATTTCTATGCTTTTCGTAGAATGAAAATCAAGAAACTTCCCAACGTTTTGGCGCTTCATTTAAAACGATTCAAATACCAAGAAAACTTGCAACGATATACCAAGCTCACCTATCGCGTCGTCTTCCCATTCGAACTCAAACTGTTCAATACTACTGATGATATTCAAGATCCTGATCGATTGTATGAGTTGTGGGCCATCGTGGTGCACATAGGCGCGTTAGTCTGCCTTCACAACCTCACTTTTATTCATTTTTTAATACAAAGAACAAACAGTTTTTTTTTTTTTTTTGGAGAAAAGAGAGGCTTTTAACTGATTTGTACTCTATATATATCCATCTCAATCATCAGTGGGCCTCATCATGGACACTATGTAACGATCCTCAAGTCACACGGACAATGGTTACTCTTTGACGATAACATTGTGACGAGGATAGAGGAGCGAGACATTCAAAAGTACTATGGCGATACACCCGGTGTCGGCAGCGGCTACGTGCTCTTCTACCAAGCAACCGATCTGGATCTGATGGATCTGATGGGCGTGCCCGCCGAACCTGAAGAAGCTGAAGAAGATTCGGAAGTCGGGACTGACGACAGCGATGACCCTATTCCCGCGATTGATGATAGCACCCAAGGTAGCCTGTTCACTGCTCGGAGTTCTCCATTGAGCGCAGAGATCAAGAAGGAGCTCCCTCAACTCTCATCATGGAATGGTTTCCAGTCTTCATCCGTCGACAACCCCGTTCGGAAGAACTCGGCACCCTTCTCTTCAGGCTTGTCTAGCTCTTCTTCCTCAAATAGTCACCCCCTACCGTCCACCTCCCAACTGCAAGCAACAGCTGGGAGCTCTTCAATATCTAACAGAACTCTTTCGACGAACGATCGGAGCGAACTTCCGACTTCTAATCACTCGAACAAACCTGAGTTTTCCACCCCACCATCATCCCAGATGGAAGACAATAATCCCCAGACGAGTGCAAAGGTTCAATCTCCTCAAACGAAAATCAGTGGGACCGGGGTATTGTCGAGATCTCCTTCGACTAGCACGAAGTACTCCTCACTGCCCCGTTCAGGTCCTCATCTAGCACACAACCCGATTGATGTTCGCTTTTCTCCCCAATCCAGTCCCGAGTCGGGACTTCTATCACCCTTTCAAACCGGGCCATCGTTACCGAAAAACGTACTTCCGAACGCTCCAGTCCGGACGATCCCTAATCTGCCTTCCCCCAAGACAAATGACGAAAGCTCGAGCAGGTCGGCCATGGCAGCCTTCCTACCCACTAGCCCATTGACAGCCCCGTCCAGCAATGGTAATTCTAGTAAGCCTACATCCGCCAGCACCACTCCCAATCTGCATCGGAAGTTCTCGGCGAAGTTCTTGAGACGGAAGAAGTCCTCGGCCAGTTCATCATCGCCCGTCCAACCACCGCCCAAGACGGCCGATCCATCTCCTCGCTCCAGTCCGACGGTTGGTGGGAATGAGTCGGTAGGAGGACTCGGATCAAGATCGAGTGAGCAAGCTCTCCGAAACCCTTCTGTCCACCACTACCATCAGCCCATCCTCTCCTCCCCACTCGGACCCGATTCGACTGACAAACACCCTCACCACCAACAACAACATTTCTTTTCGCCCCGGACAACTAATCTGGGAAGTTACCGTCACAGTCTCTCGACCGCCTTAGATCATTCGATCCCTGGGACGAGCTCGAATGCACCCACCTCGCTCCCTCCCAGTAACCGCAACTCGATCCACTCCGTCTTCCACTCCATCTCCCATTCCTCGGCTTTCATTGGCCCCAGTCCTCATCTTTCTTCCTCCCCCATCCCGTCCGCCTCCGGAACTACTACTACTACTACTACTACTACTACTAAGGGCGCCCAAGCTCCCCCGGCTACTTCTATCCTCACTGAGAAACAACAACGAGAAATCAAAAAGGCCAGCGAGAAGGCTAATAAGCTGGCTGCTAAACATAAGCTTAAGGCGCTCAAGGATCGCTCAAATTCGAAATTTATAAGCACCACCACCCCTTTTGATAAAGATCATTCTACTACTAATAGCAGTAGTAGTAATAGATTAGCTGCTCAATTCAAGTTTTCTAGAACGCTTTCCCCAGTCGAATCTCATACTAATAACCGTAGTCATCCGCCACTAGAACCTCCTTCTCTCTCGCCCCACTACAAAGGAATAATCAGTCCAACAAATGTCACGAATCAAGAAAGACAGATCATCACGTCTCCTTCGTCGTCTGCTTCTAGGAAGAGCTTCGGCTCGGTCGTTGGAACACAGGCTCCTCCGCCGTCCACTGCCTCCTCTCATTATCTTCATCATTCTTTGCCGAAACTGGGAAGACCTCATTCTGCTTCCTTGCGCTCTTCTTTGACTCATACGCCGAATCCGAATCCGAATCCGAATCCAGTCTCTCTTCCCCATTCTCTGCCTACTTCTAATCCCAATCAGAATTCGAACTTGAACTCCAATGTAAAGGCAAATCGGATCTCCGCTTCCTTGGCTAATAGACCTTCCTCGGCTAAAAGACCCTCCATCATCGGCCCGGCTCTTGCCCCGACTCATAAACCGGCTGCTGGCTCGCTGTCCGATTTCTTCATGGGTCGAAAATCTTCTTCTGCTTCTTCTTGATTGTCCTTCTCTTTCTTTTCTCCTTCTTTGATCTGTTTCTTTTTTTCTCTTTTTTCTCTCTCTTTTTTTCTTTGAGGGGTTTCTTTTATAATTTCTTTCTCATTGTCTATATTTTTTTTTCTAGCTTTCTTTATATATATATATATACATATGATGTGTGGGTAAAAAAAATGTGTGTACAGTTTATTGAATGATGTGCCTGTAAATGATTGTGTGTGATTACATAGGTTTTTGTTGAATTTTTTTCTTTTGTTTGATTCGATTTCTACGTTTAGGTAGATAGATATATCAAAAAAACACATCAGTATTTCTTTCTCTCATTCTCCTTAAATACAAACATCAAGATTTCTGATTACAAAACACACTCACACACAATAGGACAGGAGGAGGGAGGATTTGTGAGAGCTTGGTTTGGTGTCACTCTGGTCTGTCCTAATTACTCATCATCATGCATGTCTTGCTGGTGCTTTTTCTGCTGGGAAATCTTAGGGGCTTGCTAACTTGAAGCAAGTCCCTCGCTTCTGCCGGCCTGGTGTACCTGGGCTGGCTGGCGCCACTCGCGAAGCGAGCCTCCGAAGGAGGGACTTGTGCCAAAAACACACACACGCGCATGTCGCTATTGGCATGTTTTGGTGTAGCTGTTTTTGAATCAGCCACCATGAATGTAGTTTTTCTTTTTTTGGAGGCAAAGTCAGCATGGTCAAAATGGACCATGTTGTCAATCTTCTTATCAACGTTTTAGGGAAGTTTCCTGAAAACTGGCTGAATGGGATTTTTTTGAAAAATGTTGAATATTGAAAAATTCCAAAAATTCAACTTGAACTTTGGTGGCAGGGTAAGCTAACAGTCAAAAGGCACACACATATAGGTTGAGGTGCACAACCACTCCAAATGACACTCAAGTATGTAGTTCTACATATTTCTCAGTTCTTTCTTGATGGAATCATAGATCTCCATCATGGGCACACCCAGCCCAAATTTTATTTGTATATAGGTCAGCGGTGAATTTTCGATATTTTTTCTCTCAAAAAACCCTCCAAAAATATGATAACAACACGCGAGCGTGTTTGTCTTGGGCACAAGCCTCTCCCACACTTTGTGCGTTCGATGGAGAGGCTGGGCAAGCTAGAGGGGCTTGGTGAATCAACTCCCAAATATTGGGGAGTCAGCTCCCAAGCGCTAGGGATATCCTTAGGACCTTCTGCAGACCCTCTGTTGAAATTTAAGACTCAAGCGCGTAAGAGGATGAGGGCCAAAAAAAGGAAGTCTTATTTTTGGGAAGCGCTCACGGAAAAAGAGTGTAAAGAACCAATGGTATTTTATCCACTGTATTTAGGCTAGCTTAAGACATACAAGTGATCAAAAAAATAAAATTGAATAAAAGATGGTTTTGAATAAAAACTGAGAGGAGGAATTATATGAGTTCATGGAAGAAATAACCGGACAAGTCTTCTCAGTCTCTTTTAGACAAGCTAGTAATATTAATCATGACAAAACATACACTCCACCACAAATGAATAGAGTTGTTAATTCTAGACAATCAGATTTTTAATGAATCAAATAATGAAATTGAAAAAGAAAGAGATCAATCACAGAGACAGGAGTTGTTGATAAAATTGCTAATGATAGTTCCAATTAGACTCCAAAAATGCACAACATTCAACATAAAACCAGCGGTGAAATATCATAATTCAGTCTAATTCAAGAAGATTCAAGAAAGGAAAAAGCGAGAAAAAGATGACAAAAGGGTGATTTTTGGTGAAGAGTAGACCAGAGAGCTGAAAACTCAACACCCTCTCAGGACGTCTCATCCCCCTATTTTTTTTTTTTTCTTTATTCCCTGCACTAACCCATCACCCGGTTTGGGTGGCAATAACCCAAAAAAATAAGGAAAATAATAATGATGAAAAAGGAGTGTGATAAACACATTCCCTCCCCCCCCCCTTCAAGCACACACTCCCACACTCCCCTTCTGAGGGGAGTTTGGGACCACACACCAATTGAAATTGGTGTACAGGTCCACATGCCAATGCACTGCAGGGGTATATTCTAAAGATGGCCTCTCACACTTGTGCACCTGCGACAAGTACAAGTACTTGCGTGAAAATTCTCAGATCTCAGACACCCACACCTGCACTTGCGGGGGCAGGAAAAAGCAAGTACTTGTGTACTTGTGCTGGGTGTGCAAGTTTATTTTGAGATATAAAGGTGACAAATCTTGTTGTATTTTCATTTCAGAGATTTTATGGTAAGTGAGTGTAAATAGTAATAATAAATCTTAACACTTGCCCTTCATTTTTTTTTTCAGATTTCTCCCTTTCTTCTTTCTTCTCATTATTCTTATTTGTCTTCCATTTTCTCAAAATCCCCCTTCTTGGTCTTACGATTTTTTGAGTAAAATGCCACACTCATCCGCCTAGTGACAGACTGTGCACTGAGCTTGTGCCTCCTGAGAGAAACATAGTCCCTACCAAACCTAAAGCATTATCAGTGGTTGCTTCAGAATGTACAGGAGATTCGGTAAAAAACCAACCAACATAATATTAATAATTTACATAAAAAACACACCTGGACTACTAAGCACTGAAGTAAAGGTGCGCAGGTGCGCACCTGCAACAATTACAAGTACTGTGTGAAAATTCTCAGATCTCAGACACCTGCACCCACAGCCGCACCTGTAGGCAAGTACTTGTTGGAAGGCAACAAGTAGCAAGTACTTGGTGCAATCTCTAGTGCAGTTCATTGGCATTCTTTTTGAGTCCACAGTCAGTCTTATTAGAATATTTGACATAAAATCCTTTAGTCTTACTAGGAGTATTGCCTTAACACTAAATTTACCATGCTGTCCAAATTTTTTTTTGGGGGGCTCAGAAAAATGACTCCCATTTTCTATCCAACAACTCCCAAGGGCTATTGGTGGATTTCCATTGGGAGTAGTTATTTAAAATATGGGCTGATTTTGGGAGCCTTCTGGCCCATTCTAGCTCATTTTTTCTTTCTGATTTTTGGGATGGTCTTTTTGATACTTATTGGGTGCCTCAACTTCTCTTTCAAGCCTACAAACCGGGTAGGTCCTTCTCCCTCTCTTTTAAATACCACTTGGAAAGAGGGGGAGGACTGATGATGTTTATGGGGGAAATAAAACAAAAATAGATGGAGTTCAACTGGAATTGGACAAGTTGATTCATACAGATATCTTTTATGGAGACTCCTTGGAGTATCCAATGAAACTGATCAAATCCAGTACTTCATCATGAAACAAAGATAAAGATAAACAGGAGGATGATGAGGATGAGGAAGTGAAGAGGGTACAATTTCTAATCCTGACAAGGACCATCCATCCAGTCAACAACCAAACTTATTGGGGCCTGCATCCCGCAAACCTCAGACCATCTTAAAGGAGATCCTAGAAGAATAACACAAGAATCACCTTGAGAAGCTTCATCCTCATTTGGTCATTGAATTATTATTTGCTCTTGCCTCTAGTAGAATCAGACCTCCACAACCCTGCCTGCTCTGAATTCTTTTTTTTTTAATTCTAAACTCTTATGAATCACATTTGAATTGGTTTCTTGTAATACTACTTGTATTATATCTTCCTGCATTTGTCAGTTCTTATTTTATTGTCACTTTGTGTTGGGGATATTCTTCTGGTTGCCAAGTCTATGCTGGTGGGTGTATGTACCTTGAGCAAGGAGATTACAACAGTCAAAGAGGATTGAGCACCAATGAGGTTCACTAATGAGGATTTTCCTCCCAGCTGAAGGATGTTTTGAGAGTGAATACTCTAAAAATAAGATCTGATGGGGCTTGTCTCACCAAAGGTACTCTTTCTTGCAACAGGAACTGTCTTGTCCCCGTTGGCATCTTTAACTCCAGGTTCTGATATATTCCCTAATCAAGTCAGGCTGTCTTGATCTTACTTGAGTTAAAAGTTTGTAAAGATGTAAGTGTTGAGGGGAGATCCTGTATTAATTTTGAGTTGGACTTTAGCAAAACAGGACACAAACTAAATATTTTTTTGGTATTAAAGGAATTTATTGCCTATTTCTTCACTTCTCCTGAAAAAGAAAAAAACATAAACCAGTTATTGCAAAGTGATTTTCACAATCAAGCATGGGCCTCTGCAGAATTGATGCCATAGTACTTTTAGTCTTAGTTAGTATCTTTTGAAACTTCATCCAAAAACTGAGGTAGCACTGAATTTTTTAAAAGAAAATTTGGTTTAATGCAGCTAGGGAACAGCTTGGAAAAAAACATTCCAAAGTTCCCAGAGGGAATTGGGTTTTGCAAAAGCATCTCTGACTTGAGAAATCAAGAGTCAAAATCCCTGGCAGTTGAAGAGACCTCAATAAACCCACCAGGGTGTGAATGCACTCACACTTCAGGTCATGATGTGAGTGTCTATATTGTGTCATGTTCAAAGTATTCAATTTCACATTTATTTTGCAAATATAATATTTAGTGGGAGGGCACTTGTGATTGCCATTCAGAAATTGAAACAGACCTTACAACAAGCTCTTCTCTGATGGAACTAAGCAAAACATTTGAAGAAAAAAAGATTACAACTCTCATCCCTGAAATCAATAACTGTGCAATATGTCTGGAGGAGATTATTAAACCTGATGATGCCAATGTTATCTATGAATGGACAGGTTGTAAGCACCAGTCTCATAGGAGCTGCATCCAACCACTACTGGATATAGGAGGGAGATGTCCACAATGTAGAAGAAAGTTTTCATTGAAGTTTTCAACTAGGATTGTCCAGTTTGGGTTTTCTATTATTGAATTCATCAAATTTGAGTGGCACACAGAACATGGCCGTCAAGTTTTCATATTTTTTTTCTTTAATGTTGAGCTGTCTCCTCCTTACATTTTATGCAATCATCTTTGAAATCATTGTACCCTTATTAGCCTGAATGATCATCCCTATCCCATATATTCAATTATCATTCTTGCTTCATTCAAGACATACTTCAGCTGATGTGTGAGGGGTGTTTTGGGAAGCCAAATCTTAAAAAATGAAAAAATAAAAATAAATAAACTAAAATGAGCCGGATGACTCCCAAAGCTGGGCCATATTTTAGAAAACAACTTCCAATGGATGTCTGAAAACGGTCCTGGGGAGTCATTGGCAAGGAAATGGGAGTCCTCTTTCTCAGCCCCTTAATTTTTTTGTATTGCAGGGGGCCTTTGGTTCTCAGAGCATCCTTATCAGTTGGGCTAACTCAGCCTG